CAAGTTTAACAAAGAGCTCATCAGCTTCCCAGAGGCTTTTACTTTATTATACCCTGACAGAAGTGCAGTGCAATTTTTGCCAGGTAGTGAGGAGGTATTTTCCTTACAAATACAAGGAAGAGCTAGAAAAATCCTACCAACGGATTACTTTGTATTTATGCCTCAAAATCGATTATAATGAATGAGCTGAATTTGAGTCTTCTTTTTAGCATCTCTCATCTGACCTGACCTCAGTCTGTTGTCAACTAATATGAAATGCGCGCGCGCAAAGGCTTTTCCATTTTGTTTACAGGGTTTCCTTTTTTGTTTGTAGCGTTTCATTTTTTTGTTTGCAGCATTTCCTTTCTTGTTTGCAGCGTTTTCGCTTGTTTGCTGGTGTTTTCATTTTTTGCTTGCAGCGTTTCTTTATTTGTTTGCTAGTGTTTTTATTTTTTTTTTTTTGCAGCGTTTCTTTTATGTTTGCAGCATTTCTTTTTTGTTTGCAGCGTTTCATTTTTTGTTTGCTGGTGTTTTCTATTTTTGTTTGCATCGTTTCCATTTTTGTTTGCATCGTTTCTATTTTTGTTTGCATCGTTTCTATTTTTGTTTGCAGCGTTTCATTTTTGCTTGCAGCGTTTCTTTTCTGTTTCCATGATTTCTTTTTTGTTTGCAGCGTTTCTTTTCTGTTTCCATGATTTCTTTTTTGTTTGCAGCGTTTCTTTTTTGTTTGCAGCATTTCTTTTTCTTTGCAGTGTGTCCCTTGTGGGCCATCGTAGGTTCGTATACTAATACCAGTATTCGAATAGGAACATGTTGTAATAATCGTATCAAACATTACTTAACAACGAAAACTTTATTTCAGTTGTATGAAAGAAAAATGTCTCTAGTTTGTTATGTTATCTCATAACAAACTACCATCGAATATGTCAGATGGACATTATGCTATCATAGGAATTACTATACGAGAGCTCCAATGCCAAATAATTTGAATCACGGTCACAATCATACAATTCATAAATCGAATTCCTTTGAGAACCAACTTAATAATATATGTAAAAACTCAAACAAAAGTAGGCCTACATGCAAGTCTATTAGTTAAAAAAAAACGCTTTGACCGAAACGTATTTGTTTTTGTCCCCAAAGCCATACTAACGTATACAGCCTTCATCTTTCCTCATATTTTGGCATTCGAGAGGAAAGTTTCAAACAGATAAATTTGATTATGCGGTGCACACAGAAAATAGTCTATCAAATGATCGTCGATTTGCCAACATTTAGTAATAGTCGCCATCTTGATTATGGATCTGTTCCATTACATTACAATATCGGGGTTTGTAATTATTTCCTCCAATAAGCTGCCTTTCGAACGGTCTAAATGTATTTTTTTTTTTTTTATTGTTTTTTTTTTAAATCATTATATTTGATCAGGCAGTTCAAGGCCCACCTAAAATATGAGGCGCCAAGTGTAAGTTCATTATTTAACACCGTTAATTACATAATTCATTAATGAACATAAAATTGAATGGATCAGTATTTAGGCCTATATATAATGCATTTTACATATAGAAATTATATGTAAATAATTACGTGAAAGTCTTCATTATTTATATAAAATGAGTTTAATTATTTCATTATATAGGCCTATAAATAATTAAAGGGTAACCAATCATTATTTATATAAGTTCATTTATTTACCTAATATAGGCCCTATATAAATTACCACATTCAAGGTTGTTTTTGAGATGTTGCAAAACTTAGATATTATATCCCTTGTTAGGTGCTTAGGTTTGTAATTGGCGAGTAGTTTCGCCAGTATATATTTTCTTAACTTCTTTTACATTTTATTATATAGGCCCTATATAATGACTGGATTTCATTCATTATATATAAATAATAGCTGTCGCAAAGCCATTATATACATATAATGCTTAAACTTCTAACTTGTGTTTTAAACACAATTTATGCTTGTTGTTTATGTAATCAAAACCCACACATTTATCTTCAAGAATTGAGGGCACGGCCTTTTTTACCTCCCTTCCTCTCTTTAACAAACATTTTCTCATTTTTTTAATTTTTCGGCTTGACTGACGGGGGACACGGGCCCTCATGGAAACGGCGGCGGAACGTTTTTTGAAAGTGGGTGGGCATTTCATAAGACGAGCGAAGCCAAAGGCCACCGGTGGGGCTACGGATATTTTACGAAGTTTGGTGAATTTTATAAGTTATTTTATAGGCATCAAGCTACTGTAATATGATTTCACATTTGTTGTAATTTAGTGGCCGATCCAGGAATTCGAAATAGAAGGCCCAGGGAGGGTACTTTCACAGACAGAATATCTATTCTACCTCAGCCCCAGCATGGTTGGGGTTGAGGTAAGAAAATTTGTGACTATGGCACTTCTATATGGCCGGAAATTGCACTTCTAGACATAACATTTGAATATAATTATAGGCCTATCTCTATTTTTTTATTGAACAATTTAGGGGGGTAGGGGCGCGCCGGCTGGGTCCCCTTGAATCCGCCACTGGGTACTTCAGCAGTCGAGATTGCTTCCATGACCTCAATGGATTATTTATCATGAGGGTATTCTTGATATGGGTTATCCGACGAAAACTTCACTCCCCCCCACCCCCAATGGATAAAGATTACCCTTCTATGTAGCCCTTCTATGTTGCTTCATGGCCCCCGCTGGAGGGGATATTGAAGTGGTCGTTTCAGGATGGAAGGGAAATGAATATGAGAATGGGTTAACAGAAACTCCATAGTTTATCCGATGTGTTAGAGCTGAAAAAGCTCTCATGAAGAGGCTGAAGGTGCAGCAATGTATTCAGGAGATAGGATGTGGTAATTTCGTATGTAAGGAATTGAATATCAGAATTTAGAGAGAGATACCATAAATGCCATCTTGTTTTTAGTGGTCTAGTTAGCTATGTATTATATAGTACATACACAAAAGTAAACAATACATAGTACGACACATTTGTTTTGTTTTATTTTATATATAAATTTTATTGTAGGCTTATATAAAATTTGCTACTACTGCTGTAATGCACTATACTAATATGAATATAAAAAAATATGGCAAGGGGCCTACTTAAGTTTCTGAAAAAAAAAAGTTTTTCTAGAAATAGGCATATACACTTTTTACCAACTGGCTTCTCCGATATAAATTATGGTTGAACCCGAGTGGAATTCCCCTTTATCATAGCAACAATGTATTCATGAAGAAAATTTTGGTCTAGCAGGTAGAAAGGGTGATGTAGAAGTGGACTTTTTATCAATAAATTATATCATCTTATTCAAATTCAAGTTCCTCATTTGTAACAATCTGTGGCCAATGGTTAAACTACAAGTTAAGTTACACAAGGGAATTGTAACTTGCAATTTGGCCATTGGCCACGAATTGCTACAAATGAGGAACTTGTACTTGAATTTCAATAAAGTGAAATAATTTATTGGTTAAAAGCATTTCTACATCCATCACCCTTTCAACTTGCTAGACACAAATTTCCTTCATGAACACATTGTTGCTAAATCAAGAGTACCCAACTTGTGGTGGGGTTGTACATCTGAGTGGATGCTTCTTGCAGTCCCAGTGTCATGGGCTCAATTCCTGTCAATGTTACAGGAATTTTTATTGCATACCTAAGCCACGTATTGAGACTTAACATAGACCATCTTGTCTGTATGTTTTCTGAACTAAGGGATACGACAGTCAGATTAAGTTCACTATTGCCAATCCAATGTCCCTAATTAATTAAATTGAAAATAAAAATAAACATTGGTGTTTTGTATCATCAAGACACTATTAAACAACCAATTTCTTGCAGAATGATTATTACTCTAGTACAAATTTGACATATTATTTGAATAGGTGCATCATTGAAGCCAAACATTGTTTAATCATTTACAGTATGGTAAAATCAGTTCATACCATATCATATATTTATCCAGAATGTTGTAAAAGCCGGGCACACTCTGCACCCTACAGTCAGCAGCCATGAGATTGTATTAAGAACGCGCTCATACACAAAGAGTAAAGGTAGAAGAATAACCATAAATTGTAGCTTCATTGCTTATGGGAGTGGTCTGTGACGACCTAGCAGCCGTAAGGAGGCGCTTATAGTAGCTACACGTTCACATCACACCGCAACGATAGGTGGCTGAAATTAACCATAGCATCGTGGTAACCCCCTACTCTTCCGAAAGATGAAATGGGTTCTTTAAAGTGCACACGAGCCAAATGAGTTCACTGGACCTTCATTTAAAGTCCTTACCTGAGAAGACTTGGTCCTACCAACCAAACCCTGGGCAAGAAGCAGCTGGAACCAGGGCTGTTGTTAATTGGCTGTAGTTAGCGGTGCCCCTGCCTTACCACTTGACCACTCAACTTAAGGGATCGTTTTTAATGATGATCCACTGAGTTTGCCAGTGAAGGGGTAAATTCATCAGCCAACGGTCTTAAAACCAGTATGTGCCGACTTTAGACATTACAGAAACTTAAATTGATGCATGCCAACTTCAAGAAAGCTGAAAAAGAACCATCTCCCTTCTTAGTAAATCATTTCCCAAGGGTACATGGCTGACGGATGCATTTATACCCATCAAATTTGATATATTGTTATTTTTTTAATTCATTATGCTTAATTCATGGTTGTCATATTTCTTTTCTTTTTAAATAATCTTAAAAGTTTTCTTTGTTGTAGAAGAAGCGACAGCCTTCACGAGTGATGCTGGAATGTAAGTTGCTGTTCTTATGAAGAACATGAGACAAAGCTGACGGGCCACAGAAGAACACGCCAGCATTAACACTGCAAGAAAATAACAAATATCATATTAGAAATTTTAGAGAACTAGGTAAATATGAGCATAAAGATACTGTAAAAAGATTTCATGGAGCATGCAAAGCCAGACAACAAAACACCCAGCGCAGGAAACTATAACGTGTATAGGCAAACCCGCCAATCCAAGCATAAACCTCACTTAACATGCCAACACTGAACCATGTCATACTCGCACCAAACCCAGGACAAACGCATTCTAAACCCATTATTATACGAAAGGACAATCCATAACAAACCTACAGCAAGCTGATGGAAACTTGCAAAAAGCACTCACACAATCTCCATAAATGTAGAAATGGCATAAAATTACAGATGGTGAATAACACTAACCCCGGATTGTCCGAAGCGATTTGTTTGAAGATATTATCCCATACTGGTCGACCATAGTGTGTCTTCTGTCTGAGGCCAGTAATTGCATCTGTATTCTCTTCTTCTTGTAGGTAGATATTCTTAGCCTTAAATAAAATACAAAATTATAATTTACTTTGCTCTGCTAGGTTTTTTAAATAATTATAAATTCCATAAATAAATTTGTAATTATAAGTGAGCCTTTTTGATATGACATTTACACACACAAGGCAGAGAATTTTAATGCTATATTTGTTCCATCCTGACATGTGCATCTGTACCTTGGATTATCACCACTGCAATGGTTTTAAAAATAGAAGCAGTAGGGAGCTTTGATTGCACGACGGTAAGACGTAGAACGTAATGACGTCAGTAAAAGTCATCTGCGCATGTGAGAACGCTAAGCTCACCCCTTCGAATAGATTCTGGAACGTAATTTGGCCAAATCTACGTATGCAGAGAATGTAGGACGCCATGTAGGACTGTCGCGCATGAGTGATTCCATTCTAGCATCACGTTGCCACACAAATCAAAAACTCCCTATTACAAATACTCATGAGACTCACCTGTTTTGAACTCCAACCCCTTGTTAAATAAATGTTGTAGTTGAGAAAGTCAGATCGCCCTTGATCTGCCATCTCTGTCTCCAAGTTTTCCAGGAGTTCGGAGAACCATTCAAATGCGTTTGTGTCGGGGCAAACCCAAAAGAAGTACACCTTGCGTAGTTTTAACTCTTCATCACCTTCTCTTATTTTATACCTGCATATGGAAGGGACATATGGTACAATAAAATTGACTATCTTTAAGTAACACATTTTGGCATACACAGCATTAATTGATTGGTTGATTGAAAACTTATTTGATTTCTCAAAAAAAGTGTAAATACATTTACAATGTTTACTGTTCCTTATATACATTTTAAATACATTTAAAATGTATATAAGAAACAACAAACAATTTCAGATACCAGGATGACCTATAAAATAAAACTTTATTCTAATAGGGTCTTGAAAATAAGAAAAATCAGACATCAAAATATATAAGAATCAATACATGGGAATGCTATGTAAAATTTTCGACAGAAAAATACAGTACTGCAGTGGAAGAAAGCTACAACTCATTCCAGCCTCGCGAAGACTAGCAAGGCTGTAAAAGATGTTTTTTAAATATTGTTCGATTTGAATATAAGATTCATATTTCTATGGTTAAAGCTCTATTCAAATTATCAAAACAGATGAATGCCCATATATAGTCAAAATGTGCCCATATTTAGTCATGATGTGCCCATATATAGTCGTGATATAATGTTATCATCACCATTCAAATAAAATCTGGACAGGGCTTAAACATAATGACTTTTGGATGAAATCCTGACTCACCATATTGATTTGAGAATTGATGCAAATGGAGTGACACCGATACCGGCCGCAACACACATGCCCACCTGGTACTTGAAGATGTCTATACTAGCTGTTCCAAACGGACCGTCCACTGCAACCCTAACAAAAGAATAACAATTTTGAATAAACCATTGCACAAATTATTGTCTTCATTGTGATTTGTACTGCAAATGCTAATTTCAGGACGAGTTAGAATTCAAATTCAGTTTTTTCTCCTAAAGTCCTGTCCAGACTATCAAATTTTATTTGACAAACGCACATGTGACACTCTGGTCATGATGACATCACCTCATGACCATATATAGGCACATCATGACTATATATGGGCATACAACAGTTTTTTTTCCAAGAAAATTTGATAGTGTGGACAGAGCATTAAATATGAATTGTTAAAATTGTTTCTGTGATAGTTTTAGAGGTCTCCCACTAATTAAAGGCTATTCCAATTAAAGAATACTTTTCTGTGGTCCCATATTAACAGAGGATTTTTTTTTCTTTGTTAATCTAATTAGAGACCAAAGCTGCTAAATACCATGGAAACACCCGTTCCAAAAGTGGTCTTTAACTGAGGGAGACCTGCACCGTGTGCTGGGCTTTAATGACGCATCCTTACATTACATACTACAGAGCTTTTAATTGCATGACGACGGTAGGACGTACAACATAATGATGTCAATAAAAATCTTCTGCGCATGTGATAACGTTAAGTTCTTCTCATCACATGGATTCTAGGACGCAATTTGGCCAAATCTATGTATGCAGAGAATGTAAAATGCCCTGTAGGATGGTCACGCATGAGTGATTCTGGTCTAGTTTTGCATCATTGCTCCGAAACCGAAAGCTCCCTATTAATGAAATGTGATACTGTTCAACATCCAAAGTCTAAAAAGACACTTGCCTTGGAAGGTCCTCAGCGGCAATTGGATCCTTGCTGGTGGCACCAACAGCCATAGACAAAGAGGTTGTCCAATCACCAGCAGTTCGGATATGCACACTGAAGAAGTCTTCATCTGGGGACTGAGCAATGAGAATGCATTACATTAAAATAAAAACATATATTTGTGTACATTATTGAAACAATGCAAGTTTCACAGCACCAGTGAAACACTGCAAGTTCGATATCATGGAAGTCAAACAGGTTTAGTTGGAAAGAGGTCAATAGTGGCGTACAAATTAAACAATTACAGAACATGCAAAATAACACACTCCCTTCATGACTCCCTCGTCTAATCTACCCAGTTGCAGGAACATCCCATAATATACTTAATATAAAGTTTAAAGGTTACATTATTATACTGTACTGAATCACAAGATTTATTCATTCAAGATATATTTATGATCAGGCTTACTGATGTAAGTGTGAAAGGATGCCACTGAAGATGTGAGATTCTTGGGCATTTTAGGAAGATATACTGTCCAGCTAACATTTCAAAGCCCTTCTTTTTCATCCTCAGCTCAAATACACGAGATGGATGCTTCACAACCTACAAATTGAAAAAAAAATGGATAATGCACTGCAAATACTAATGCTGCCAATATGGTGTATTTTTTTTTCATTTTTTTTTTTACTGAAAATATATTTTTACATACATATTGTAGCCATATGTCATTGTTGCCCACATGTTGCATAATGTAAATGTTGTTGATGTTGCTAAAATGTTGTTGATTTGCTTACATAATTGTTGAAGTTGCCACATTATGTCCATGTTGTCCAAATTGTTTTGCCTACATATTTATTTTATTGCATGCAGTAAATTAAAACTCCACTTAACTAAAAAAATCCACATGAAAATAATTTTGTTTTATCTAGCTTACCCTTGTAATTGTCACACTCTGGCAGCTACGGACGAATCTAATAAGTCTTTCAATGAAATACAAAAATAATGGTCCAGCAACCCATTTATAACTCTGAAAAACAATGTAAAAGGCATGAAGCTACATCCACACTATTAAGCAGATAGTATAGTCTCATATCATACACTAGTGGAAATTATTTATACAAAGGTTAGATTAATGCATAAGAAAACTCCTGAGGGCCCGACTTGCATTAAATAATGTGGAAATTTGTGTGAAATGCCCATATGGGTATGATTATGTCATATTACACCCAAATATGGACATATCATTTTTTCTTTTGTAATATACAATTTCATAGTGTGAGCTAATCTTTAGAATTCATATTAGCTCAGTAAACTTTTTGGTTTAAATGTTCTTATTATCTGCTGTACTTGGTATACATGGGCATGATGATGTTATATCACAGGTATTTAGCAGATGAAACATGAATAAATAACCCACAGCTGGAGATCCTTTGACAAATGTTGGATGTGCCGTGCATCTTTCATCAAAAGTAAAATTGTTAACACCGATACTTTCACAATAAAAGGGGTTATGAACTTCTGTATTATTCTGGGAACGGACAACACCTCTGAAACAAAAAAAAGAAGTTAACATCAAAGATCACACACATTAACAGTTGAATAAAAACAAAAAATATATGAACTGGCTATAAAATTATATTGTTGACAATACACATGAACAGTGAAATAATTTGACATTAATTGGGACAGTCAACAGAAACCATAATTATATTATTATAAGTAGATTATAAAACAATTACGTCCCTGTATTATCTTTATGATCACTTCCTCCTTATTACTGGCTGGAGTTTATTTCTTAACCCAAATCTGCTAAAACATATTTTATTAGTTGCTGCTTTTAGTGTTGCTACATCTTGCAATAGATTAAATCTTCTAAGATATTCAAAGTACAAATATGAAAATTGTTTTAATATACTTACTCAGCTCCGTGGACAAGTAGAAATCCATAATATATGATGAACAAATGATGAGTAAACCAAAATGTTTCAAAGTATGAATGACTAAAAAGAAAAACAAAAGTATTTCTCAAATATTAGAATACTGCCTAAAGCATTTTAAAACTTATTTATTTTATTTTTATTTTATGCCTTAACATGGCCAAGGATTACCAATAGTAACTTAACCACTGTCCTATTAGCTAGGTGGAAATCTCTTCACATGCCAAACATGCTCAACATAAACTAAGTCTCATAACAAGGATTACAGTGTTGAGTTGTTTTGATTATCAGTTTATCAGTTGTGGCAAAATCCAAATTTATAGGAAACCACATCAGAAATGGCTGGATTACATAAAATGGAGGGGGGGGGGGGAAGCTGATGCAGGGCCTGATTTGGGGGCAAGCCCCCCCCCCCCACCTTTTGGGAAGTTAAAAAACAAAGAAAAAAAAAAAAGAAAGAAAAAGAAAAAATTGATTGCCCAAAACGCCTCAGAGGTTATTTTCGGGCATCCAGAAAAAATAAATTTTGCGGGGCTTGCCCCTGGACCACATAGGGTAGTGTTGTCTCGATCATCCCCACTTTCAGCCCCCATTTTGGACATCTCTGGATCCGCCACTGTGATGGGGTAACGAAGGTGAGCACAAGGCTCAATGATTAAGTAAGGGAACTAGGTTGCAAAATAAGGTGATTTTTAACTACTTAAGCAAAATTTTTTTTCTTTGTACAACTGAGGGGGGCACAACTTTTTTGGGGGGTGGTGTGTCCCCACGCACCCCCAGATATGACAACATGAAAGGATATGACTTGCCAGGCAGGATATTTGAGAACCCTGAATAAGATTTATTCATTTTTTTCAAAATGGTTGTGCACCACTGAAGCCAACTAGAAATAATGTATGATATACAAACCGGATGAATTGTGTTGCTGAGGTGAACATCAAAAGAAGGGCAACAGTTATAACAACGCCACTCCAACCGGCAACACGTCTCAGACCTTGTTCAATCACACCAAGTCCAAATAATTTCTGGGAAAAGAAGAGAGAAAAAATATCATTACTTGTTTATTATTATGAGCATGAATAAAGATCAAAATTGAATGAGAGGGATAAATCAAGCAAAGCTAATTACACCATAATTCTAAGAATCATTCCTTGTTTAATTTTTCAAAGTCAATGCTACAAGAGATTGTGTTATTGTCAAGAAAAAAAAATGTAATTTTCTTGTTGATCAAGATGCTTAGTTTTTTTTTTCATTCATTTAAAATTTTTATGAGTAAAATCCAGCTCTAAATATTCAAATGGTTTTTAAATGATTTGTGGAAAACTCTCATTTTCAATTTATTATGTTTTAACAATTTGATAATGCTCATAACAGTATTAATAGACAACATTTCAAGAAGCATGGCAAAATGTATTATATATAGAACGGATTCCGGACCATTGCCACCTGGGCTTTTGCCACACGGCCTAAATGTAAATGGAAACTCAAATCCACTTTAAAAAACAAAATTGGGTAAGTCCCATATGGCTCAGAGGCTCACAATGCCTATCAACTTTACAGGAGTGTTATAATTTGTGTAGTAGTAGGTGGAGTAGCCAGGCTTACGGCACATACAGTACAGTAAATAAGAGAATGCTGACAAATGGATTGTATCTACAATAACGTACTAAAGACTAAAGTAGTCTACAAGAGTTTATTATACTGAGTACATCATGTATACAAGTATTAATAAATATTCATAAGTTATTTGGATATCATCATCATGTTGGAATGCAGGATATAGACTTAGTTTCACTATTACATCTAAATGTATATATAAGTAAGATAGGAATAACAGAGCATATCCTAATACATATCTTAATAAGGAAGAGTTTGTGTTGTTTATCATGTTATGAACTCCCAAGATAGATTGGAATTTACAAGTTATGACACTGACTAATATCATGTACTGTAATGTCATGCACACCACTAAGGGCTTACTCGGAAAGTATATTTCTTAAAGAGACCATCTCACAATTTCATACAGACTGAGTTTTATGGCTTTATGAGTTGAAAACTCCAACATGTTCTATAAATGTAGCGCACGTTCAATACTAACGACTTTTATGTGTATATCATCAACCAATGTTAAACACTATCAATCTTTTGAAACATACCCACTAGGTTCTGGTAGTAATTTTTATAGATCGCATTTCAAAGAAAACCCAAGAGTCGAGCCTATTCTCTACTCTTTGGTGTGCTCCCCCATTTATCAAAACATAATACTTTAATATCAGTCTCCATTTGAAAAGCACATATAATCAAACTCATATTATTAGCTCACAGTAATGTATTGAATATGTACTGCATTTTACCACAAAGATATGACTCAAACTTAGGGGGCTGAGGTGGCCCCGGCCCCTGGAAATTTACAAAAAGAAAAAAATAAGGTAGAAAGAAAAAGCAATTATTAATCGCCCAATATGCCTCAGAGGTTATTTCCGGGCACCTAGAAAATAAAAATTTTGGACCCCATAGGTAACTGTTTTCTCTGAAACGGGCCCCCACCCCCTTTCAGAACTCTTTCAAACATCTCTGGATCCGCCCATAATAATATCATTTGAAAATTCTATTTATTTGTAACTATTTATACATTGTCTTTCTATAAAAAGTATTGTAATTGTAAAATATTAATTTTCCCCTCTGATAAAAATATACCATCTGCCATAAATATAATTCTTTCTGATGGAATGTGGAAAAAATTTAAAGCCAAGCATGATGAATGCATCTGATCTCTGCACCATGACTTTACAGAAAATCAATAGCAAATACAACAATAATAAAAATTTAAAAAAACCAGCAGGATAGGAAACAATGTTCATGGAATGTCCACAGGGATTAGTGTTAAGTGAGGACGGAATCCTTAACAATAATTTTACAGGTAATTTGGATTCATTATATGCTTTTGCATCAGTGATCTTCTAATAATAAACTCAATCAATTGTTTACACGAAATCTAAAGCAAAAATAACAATCTGTTTGTGGTTGATTATAGGTATAGAAATGTGTGGATTCAAGGACAATAAAGACAATAGCTGCTCTGCTACTGGGATTTATATTTACAAGCAATAACTTATAATAAGGAAATAACAGAATCTGTTAAAAACTTTTGGTATAAACGGCGTGGTATATGAAAACAACCAGATTTAGGTCAAAGTTTTTTTGGTTGCCATAAAATATCCAGGATCAAAGAAATTGTACAAACATATTTTCATTAAAATTTATATTATTATTATTATTTATTTACGGTATTCCATTTTTTATACTATACTCACAATTGTAGAATTTCTGACAGGATTAATCCATGTATCATTATCATGGTCATCCAGATCACTCAAAAAACGTTCCAACGTGCCATCGTCACTATAAACTTGAGCATCATACAGATATTGGAAGTTGAAAAAATGTGCAATGCAATGAGCTATGGACAGTATAACGATCAGGTACGCTAACGCCTTGTGAAAAGTCAAGTTCTTGTCTAGCAGACGACGTACACTTCGTCTACAACACTGCAATTAAGTTCAGAATATCCATATAAGGGGTGTTGACTAACCAACCAAATAAGGAGCATTACACAGTATGCATGCACAGTAAATATTATAGTAAATGTTAGCAACTTTAAGCTAAATCAAGTGGAGCGATGTCAGTTGGTCATTCATCTTCTATGGGTGGGATGTTTAAATTCGTACGTGTTTTAAGGGTAATGATGGACTGTTGAAATTGGGTATGAGCAGGGTTAATATTAACAGGTATGACAAATATGTTGGAATGGCATGTGGGTATACAGGTATCTGAAAAGTATGTAGTCACAAGTGTTTTAAAGTGTTTGTGCAGATATGGACAGGTTTTTTTTTTTAAACTGGGATAGCAGAACGTGGTGTGACCAGGTTTATGGACAGTCTTGTGGGTTGAGGAGGAGTAAAGAAAAGAGTTCTATGCAAACTGATTGTTGTTATAGAATAATACAACGCACAATGTAATAATAATACTTACAGCATTAGTTTCAACAGAACCTCGCAAAAACGAAATGAGATTTCGGCAGACTGGTAATAAGATGAGCATACTGTTTAGGTTTAGGCACGCACCACATGCCTTAGCAATAGACACTGCAGGCTAAAAATATATGGCAGATAAAAGTCTATGAAATATTGATAAGACAACTTTTATTGTCCAAAATTACACTCTAAAACTCACATAATGAACATGTACGATATAAAAGATACTTAATTAATTCACATCAATTTTACAATTGATATTAAAAATAGTTAAACAACAATAAAAAATGGCCATTACTTAAAATAACTAATTATACAGTATTATTATAATGGTGATGACGACGATAATGATGATGATGACGCTAACAATTATGATAAATATGGTCACTATGATAACCTTGATGATGAAATTGCCATTATTTAAACAACAGTGTCTTACCCCAGTCAAAAACCTTATGTAATGGTACCGAGCCTCATTTTCATACACAAAAAATGTCACTAACCAGTAAGCTATGTTGCCTCCAATCCACAGAAACTGAACAAACAAAAAATCTGAGCATTATAAAACTTGAAAATAATTTAATATTGTTGTTTTTATACTAAATTATATAAAAAAAAACTACTAGCACAGCAATTTTGGTTAGATTAATGCATTAAAAAAAATTGTTTTTGTGCATTAATTTAACATTCATATAATAAATTTCTACTAGTGTATTAAACAACTATTCTCAATTGCTTAATAATATGCTTCTATAGTGAACAAAGGTCTAGTAATAATAATTATAGTGAACGAGGTTTGTACAATGGGTACTTCATATTTTTGACACCAGTCACATGAATATGATCAAATACTTGGTTGCTGTTTTTTAGCTTTTTTATATGATGTGATTTTTTGCATCTATTTGATGTAATTTTTAGTTTAATTAATAGGATGTAATCTTTTGCTTATATTTGATACATTTTTAGAATGTGTTAATGTAATTTTTAGCTTATTGTCTGATGTAGAATCCCAATGGGTAGAGTCATGTTCTACTATTAAATACATTTTTTGTGAATAAATAAAGTGATTTAGTCAGACTTGGGTAACGCTTTTTTTAAAAAATAATATTTACAAAATTATATTAAATCATAATTGATGAATAACTTACTGTTTTTTTTTACTACTTATCTAATTTATAAGAGAAAGGTTGAATGGGAAGAAAATGAAATGTTGTAATACAGGAAATCTGTCTACCAAGGTGTTTAACAACACACAAGGATAATGATGATGATTTAGCACTTTCCCTTTTAGCAATAAGTCTGTACTTGGTTTAGCGTCATATGTTATTCTTAAACCAGAGTTCAAAAAAGGTGTGCAGTAAACAGAATAGCTCACTGTGTGGTCTTCTAGAAATTATTTTTCTGATACTGATATACCAATAACTAAATGAAAGCTGACTTTTCAACTGCCGAGAGCATTTAACAGGTCTCAAAACCATCCGCTTTTAATACCAAACAAAATATTTAGAAAAATATTCAACAAATTATTTAGGTTATTTTTTAGAATTCTACAAGTTGCAACAGAAAAATCAGATATAGTTACAAGAAGTGTGAAGAACAGCCCCTTTAAGCAATTAATCTTCAGTAAAAAATCTTTAGAAAGAAAGCATTATTTGCCAAATATTTTTAACAACTGACAAAATTATAGTTATATAATGAAATTAAATTTTTATTTCGTTATTTACAAACTTTATGTTTCACACAGAAAACTTTCTCTGGTAAAAAAGAGTTTTTTTTCCTGTATTTTATATTAGTTTAAAATGAATACAAAAAATACAGTACATACCGCAAATGCATGTTTCAATCCTTCATTGATGAGGCTATGATCACCCGCCATTTCTTCTACTTTGTAATTCCTTCTACTTTATAATTCATTCAGGATAGCACAACACCTTTTGCTTAAAAACTCTGAAGATGAAGTGTCTATCTGCACTTCCTTGATCCTGGGTTGAAGTCAATAGCTGGCTTAGCAGTTTTCTCTTCAGGAAATAGTTTCCTAAAAGGATGTCATTGCAAATGCATATTAGCTTTATGCACCATTGTGTATTAGTACTACAAAAAAACAATCACTGTTATTTTCTACTTGACTATAAGCCTAATAAGGATTACAATGACATCATCAACCAAGTTTTATTCTTTGGTTAATCTTTAGGTATTGGGGTCTGACGAAGACAATAATAATACAGAATTCTGTCCACACTATCAAATTTTATGACTATGTGACAAATAACTGCCATTTGCCAATAATTGGGTGTAATCACATTGTCCATATTGGCACATAACACAAATTTTTCATAATGTTTAATCAGAGACTACAAGTCTATTTCCAACATATCTGATCAAACAAATTTTGTATGAGTTTCTGTCTGGTGCATAATTTCATGAACTTAGGATACGTCACCTACTTCATCACACCGAACCTGCTATAAAAGACGTGTAACAAATAAAAGCCCACGCATTTTGGAAAGATTTCGACCTCTCAGATTTTGCCAAAAATTAGGGTTTGAGCCAATCTAAATAATTTCGATTTTGTGTTCATACTTTCCTTCCTTCCCTTCCGCCCTTGCAAATTTGAGCTGGTTTTTGAGGTATCACCACTTAATTAAAAAACTTATAGTATAATATAGTTATAGCTGATATTTTAGTTGATAATTTATTGCAGTATCTGATTATACATTGTTGTATTTTTGTTAAATTATTGTTACTACACTATTCATTAATCAGCCATGCATGTTATTATTTATTTGCTGATGTTCATAACATCCTTATACATGCACTAGGGATCTAGGGCATTATATTATTATAATGGGATGGCTTAGGCCTACGTATAATAGTAATACTATAAGTCATGGATACTATTCTTTTTTATACAATCGGTAAAATGACATCTCATCTATAGTATATATTATGGGATGGTAAATAGAAAATGTGTATTCTACTCTAGTCGGTAACTGAGTTAACATCACGGATGATGTTGCCTAGGCCTACACCTTTTAGGTATGTACAGACTAGGCCCTAGGGCCAGGCCTGGTCAAATTGAATAAGTGTTAAAGAACACAATTAGTCCTATCTAGCAGGTCTCTGAGCCTAGGATGATCAGACAATACAGCAGCATATTCATCACAATACTCACCTTATGTCAGCTAGGATATGAATTTAATTGTATTCTTTCCACTTTGGAAAAGTCGAGGTATTAAGTAGCACTAATGTTGATGGCTTGATCTCCGAGAAAAATCGTCTTGAACTTTCGTCAGTCAATCGAACAAGAAGCCACTCCATGCCATTTATTGGTAAACTTCTAATTGGCTAATTGGAGCGCGAGCCTGGTCAGCCTCTAGGCGCTTGATGATTGGACCATAGTTTCAATACAAAGGGCAAAAAAGTAAATTTTCAGCCTGCAGTGAATTCATCCTTGTATATACTGTATGTTAAAATTTAAACATCCACTGTTTTATCATGTGAATTCCTATGGCGTTATCTCATTTACATCTAGACACTGCTGGACACTGTATGAGAATAAAGTTCACCTTTATTGAATTGAACACATCACATGGTTCATAACACAACTACAAACACTGACTAATCTACTAAAAATCAATGGCTGAGTAACACAAAAGATGAAATGCCAAAACGAATCAATGACAAAACTGATGGAATTTCTAAAACATTTTATTTAACTACTGAACCAGTCAAGACAAATATATGCATTGATCAAGCGTAATCTTAGAAGTCAAAAATACATATACTGTATACAGACATAGGAACTAATTGAAAGAGGTTTAGATTTTATCATCATTATAGTTATTTATAACATTGAAAATATATTATCTGTAGTAAAATCTGTAAAAGCTTCAAGTAAATTACAAACATCCAATTAAACAAGAATCGAAATAATTCACTCCAAAAATGCTTATATTGATTACTAGCCAATCTAAGGGTCTATGCATATAAGGATAGTATCATTCATGCATCTGATTATTGCCAAAGAAAGAATTTCCTTGATCCAATTTTTAATTGAATGCTATCAACCTACTGAAGTTATACCATATTATATTATATATTGCATACTACAGTATATATAAATTTTAAAAGGCAAATGGGAAAAACCCATAAAACAGCAAACGGCCACATAATGCAAAACTATTTAAAATTAAAACGTAACAGTAGAGAAAATCTTATCAGAATGACAAAATAAACTAAGCATCCACTGGACAAAATAAACTAAGCATCCAGTGGATTCCTTCCAGTGGATGCTTAGTTTATTTTGTCATTCTGATCGGATTTTCTCTACTGTTCCGTTTAGTGTTCACATTAATTAGTTTAACCTAGGCAATATATCCTTAACTATGTTGTAATCAGTGGTGCTTCCAGAAATTTGCCAATAGGGGTCTATCAAGAAGTCCGACAGGCTGGTTTGAACCAAGGGACCAAAATCACTGGCAGGGTTCATGGAGAGGGATTTTATGGCTTCCTCATAGTGGCATCAGATGACAGGGGGTCCCGCCCTGTCTGACTGGTCCCTAACTGGCACCGCCACTGAATATGAACATAATGTACAGGAGAAACATCAAATTTTGAAAAGTCTGATTATACTTCATAAATATTACATCTCCAAATTATAATACATATCTTTATGCAAGGCATGTTTGGTAAGGTGCATGTAACATTCTTTGACATTCAAAAGTCAAAGTGCACATAAAAATTGAAGCCATTGCACTAAATTTATGCTTGAAGTGGGCTAGCCTGGGTTCCAGGCCCTAATTTTGGGTTACTCACTCTTTATTGCACTTAGTGCGCGCCATACCTAATTTAATTGGCGTCCCATACTCGATTTTTTTTTTTTCGGATTAGGCTTAGGCTTATTCCGTCTCTAAATTAACTTTCTTGTTGGTGGCACTGTCCAGAATGAGAATAATAATAAAAAATAAGAGACTTGTGGCAAGTCTAGAAGTGGGCCAAATTCCACTAACCAATATGGACCTCCAAGGTTCTTTGTGGTTTTAAATAGCAAAGAATTTCCAAATTAATTAACATAACCAGTACTTGTTAATAATATGTCAACCATAACATATTTCCAATTACTGTATTAATAATTCAAATAAATTATTAAATGACAATAATTATCAACATACAATCAATATAACACAACAAAAACAATATTAACCAATTTATCAATATAGTTGAATTCAAATTCAATACAATAGGACCCTGATTTAAATCGCTCTTAAATTTGTTTATAGTAAGCCTACATTCAATATAAAAACAAAGAAAAATGCGTACCACACAAAACAAATTCAGCCAATTATTAATATTAAATCAATTTACTTCTTTTTCTTAACTAACCTGATAAACCATCTAATGGGATTTCCTTTAATGCAATTTCTTAGTTTTCAGTTTCCCATATACTTATATTTATCTGCTGGATCAATTTATTATACTTATCTTATCATAAAAGCTGGATTTCCTACGTCATTGAATTCTTCACAATTATTCAAAAATAGATTTTGTTTGAATTTCATTAGGTAAGTTTTGGCAAACAGACTGTATAGAATGCAAGGTTCGTGTAAAATAAATAAATCATTTGAGCATCCATTTACAGTATTACCAATATTAATAGCTTGAACAATTAGTAGTAATAATATATTATAGATACATTTTTGGTTGGCAAATTATTACAATCGCTGATTTAGGTTGATTGAACAGATTAAGGTAGCAAAACAATTAATTTAATGAAATATGAAACTATAACAAGAGCACATTGCTTACATTACAGTATCATAGAATGGTATAAACCCATCCCATGGATATGAAATATTTTTTGGCAATCAAAAGGCACATGTTCTACAGAGCATGTCCAATTTAAAGCCAATTTGTTTTTCTTATTTTTGTAAATTTTTGAAAATATTTGTAGTCAGCTGAGGTACTCATACGAATTATACCCTGGGCTTTTAAAAGTTGACTCATTTTTTGCAAAAATATGAAAAATCTGGACCCATTTTCCTAAGATTTTACTTAATTTAGGCTAAATGTGAGAAATCTGGAACCATTTTTCAAAAAGTAGACTCGTTATGCATAAAATTGCATAAATTGACCCATTTTTTGAAATGTGGACCCATTCTTTGTGGACCCATTAGAAATATTGTGTGGGACTGTCCCGACAACTGGCTACGTCATTGTGAATAATCTACCACATTCTCTCATTAACACACAGAAGATTCAGAGAACAGGTACATGTCCCCTTCTACACCCCTTCCCCATTCATATATTTTACATTCCCTACCCAAATCAATTTCAAAATGCTTAACTTTTTTATACCTTTTTTTTGAAACCCACCGATAATAAAGATTTCACGTAAAAACAAAATTATATTTTTTGCATATTTTGCTTATGGAAAAATATTTTTTCCTGTCCATCTGATGGTCATTCAAAAATAAAATTCCCTATTAACTAGATATAAAATTCTCACTTAAAACCAGTATAAAGGGTAAAGACAGGCAATTAAACCTTAACTAACAGCATCACTGTGGTTAGTAAGTCCTAAAGCTCCAAATACATGTTATCCAGTAATATGTTTATTGAAATAATTATCCCAATAAAGGGTATTACCAGCGATACACAAATGAAAAGACAAGGAAATTGCAATGTCATCCACAAATTATGTTTCCTATTGTATGGCAGTTTTTGTAAATACAGTATTGTAATTTGTCGTGACCACAAACACCCACTCATATATAGCACCCATACTTTGCTTTCATACAGGATTGCTGAATCAGATTTTTTGTTTATCAGATTAAGTATGTTTTGTCTGACAGATAAACATTTTGATCAGTATATCTGCAGCTTCACTTTATGCCAGGTACTCTGCGTCAGCCGACAAGATTCCAGAGACCACAATGCAAAATGCGCAATAAATAATTTAATTGCTCAAACTGCTACTGAAAATCTACAGCCAGAGTCAAGTCATTAAGCATTTACACAACCAAGGCTGGATTAGTTGGCCATCAGTGGCGTATCTAGGGGGTGCGCGGGGGGCACACACCCCCAAAAAATTAATTGGGGCCCCCCTCACCAGTCGCACCCCCAAAAATCACTGTCAAGTAGTTAAAAATCACCTTCAATCATCTTTTTTTGCGAGTTAGCGCCCCTCAACTGATCATCGAGCTCCCCCACTTCAACTCCGCGCACCCCTCAGCACCCCTACTTCAAGACTTTTAGATACGCCACTGCAGCAGGTGTCCAGCTTTATACTAAAGCATACAATGTTTGAAAAAATAATGCTGTACAATGTAAATAAATAAATTCAGTTTAACTACTATATTGTTGCTAAGTTACTGCAAAAAAATATAACTTAAATAATAAAAAAAATTCTTAACCACTTACACAACCGTCTTTCTTATACTACCCACAACCACACAATATTTGTATTTTTACGATTACCTTGGTACAGCCTCTATATGATAAATAAGATCCATCCACAATATAAACTGTTTACTATATATACCTGTTTACCTACATAGTTTAAATACAAAACAATTGAAACTGTTTCTTTATTCCAGTTGTTAAGATGGCATAAAATAAAGTCAATAGCATTTTTTAATATAATGATAAAATGATATACAATTATTATACTGTATATCATTTTCATCATTAAGGCGGTGTTATTCATAATGCTGGCATTAACCAAAAATTTATCATAAATATTATATGAGCTAAAATACTTTCTGTAAAACTTGTTTGCACAAACTAGTGTCTTTATCATATTAGAAATTTGTCCTTCCATCCATGCTCATCCTGTGAACCCTAAATCATGCAAGTACTGTACTGGAATTCATCTTATTTCATGCTCTCATTTTAAGTTCAAAGTTCAAACAATGGCAAAATTAACAACTAAAGCTGCAACAACCACCACAAAGAAATCTGCACTGTATGCAGGTATATTTTCATTCATCCTAAGAACTTGACCAAACATCAGGCAACATGGCTCGTTCAGATAATGGACAAATTTGTGTTGTTCTATATCTATGATATTAATAACATCAATAATAATAACTGTGTAAATACCCGGTAATTAGAATTTGAAAATGGCTTTCCTAAACTCAAGTCAATAAATAGTTGTTTATACATCTGTACTGGTTGAGTTAACTGGTGTTACTTCTTCTATATGAGCTGGTACAACATCTTTGTGAAAACTGTAGAAAGTCCAGAATAAATAATATTTGTAATGAATAATATTTGTAATAAAAATTGAAACACATACAGTAACTATATATAATATTTTGCAACAAACTTTCTAACTAGAAATATTCAAAATACAAGGGTTGAGTGCCATCAAACCCAATAAGGCAATTCATATTTTGAACTGCGCATGCCCATATACAAGTTCAACAACATAAACCTGTGTTGTGTATATGTTTGTTTATTGGATTTGATTGACTTATTTCCAGTGGTGTGCTTCTGGTGATGATTGGACAGTACACCGGGAGACAATCCCCTACTCTTTTCCGAAGAGTGTACTGTGTTCTTTAACGTGCATATGGGCCATAAATGCACACGGGACAAACAGCTTAAACGTCTCATCCGAAAGACGGTGCGCTATTGTAACTTGTATTTCAGCCCTCTAGCTGAAACACAAGGAGTGGCAGCGATGGGAATTGAATCGAGGACACAGAGATCTCCACGGTTCAGCGCACACACGGTGGCTACCACAAGATTAGCCGACTGAGCTAAGCTGCTCTCTCTTGTGTCAACTGACCTTGATATGAGCATGTGCATTTCAAACTATGAATTTGCTTATGATGTACATCTGCTAAGCTTTGTTTCCATAAAATCTATACATATAATCACCGCCAGCCTTTGGCAACATTGATCGGTCGGTTGAAACGGACAGCCTTCCCGATTGCGATTGCGTCTTGGGGACAGCTTAGGCAGTGTAACAATTGCAGGGAAAATAATTATATTTTATGGAACCCAGGCTTCAGTAGTTGAGAAAAAAATCTTTTTTTTTTTCATTATGATATTTAATTGAAAGTAAATTACCTTAATAAAATATACAATGTCATTTTAAGGTTAGCTGGTTAAAGTGTTAAGCTCTGTCCAGATTATAAAAACCATTTTATGCCCATATATAGTCATGATGTGCCTAAATATGGTCAGCATGTGATGTCATCATGACCATATTTAGACATGTCACATGTTTTTGTCAGAGTTTGATGGTGTGAACAGAGTTTAAAGCTTGTACATGAATTTGTCTAGTAATGTGATCAATATATAATTCATCAATACATGGAAAAAAAAACTGGTAACTTACAAACGATAGTTTGCCCAACGTCCCATTTGTGTAAGCTGTGCACACTCGTTAGTAAAATGACAACTAAATAACAGCATGTTTCGGGGCTTCACCATTAACGAAAAACGCATGAACAATAAAGAATATACACATAATGCTGTGAAAAGATGAGGTAAATTTTTGTTTACATCGTATTCAATATAAAGTTATGAATTTTGCAGCTAAAATGTTCCAGTTATTATTTCGAATGAGAAATTAAAAGTTAATATTGAAATTTTAAAGGTTTTCCAGACTACACATCTTTAAGGAAAGAGATAGCTCAGATCTTTTTGCAGGTAAAATGTTCCTGGAAATTGCTAAGTTATTATTTCAGTATTTGGAATGAGGAATAAAAGTTAATATTGAAAGTTTTGGGGTTTTCCAGACTGCTTATCTTTCATGAAAGTGATAGCTCAGAACTCTATGTATTGTTTCCTGGATCAAAACTAACAACAAAGATTACAGAAAAGACATTTAACATAGTGTTCATTTACATAATGCATTCAAATGCATACTTTTGTGTGTTGCAGGTAGGTGTGCATATCTGCACAATGTATATTATAACATTAAGTTTGTTGTGCGGACTGTGTTAATTCTGCATATTTTTCTTTAAGGTTACATATGTAAACCTTAATGCTTGTTTGTGTATACCTTTTCCTTTATGAGGGTTATTTTTTTTTGTATTAACTACCATCTTGTATTAACTACCATCTTGTACTGATTGTGACTTGATAAATGAATAAATCAAATTGATTTGAATTGAAATGAATACCTGCAGTCATGTTAGGGCTAATGATGGTGGGGTCACGCTTCATGTCAGCCATTGCAGCTATTGGTATACCCCAGTTTGCAGCTGAAGATGAAGAACACAGTAATACACTTGGTCATGATAATGAATTGATTTTATTGATTAAAATATGAAAAAAAAAAAATAATGAGAACAATAATTTTACATTTTGGTACATGTAATCTGCTATGTGAGGCTAAGAAACTTGAAAATTCAAAAGGAATATAATATATTTTTAAAACATAATAATACCATTTCTTTGAATGTTCCCCTTCAATTTTTGGCAGTAAATTTAAGTAAAACATCTGTAATTGAAAGTGGATATGTCTTGGGAATAGGATGGGGGTGGGTATGCTCCACCCCACCACCCCCTCCCTTGGCAGCAGATAAGTTCCCCAAGTGGGTTAATATACTGTAAATGACCATTAGGTTTTCATTGAAATACGCATTCTCATTTTTCACATACCCCCCATTCCCCCTCGCAAGGAAGGTGTTTCTATACATGAGAAATTCAAAGCTATATTATAAGTTTTGAGATTTCTTTGTATTATTTGGTGGTGGTATTTCTTTAACACAGATTTTAGTATAGTTTTTGTACACATTTTATCTTTAAAATTAACAATTACTAGTTCACATAACTAACATATTCTTTATACTGGTCATTAATTCCTTATATACACTTCAAAAAGTACAGTGGTCTACTGTATTGTGTCTGCACTTTAGATTTTCTATAGGATTAATGGCTTTTTAAAATTATCTATGCCATATTTATAACCTGATCACAGTCATTCCTTTCATGAATAGACCTTTTTATTTGCCTATATGTTTTATTTTTTAAAGCTATTAACAATATAAAATTATTATTATTCACCATGCTTGGTAATGGTATGAATGGATTAAGACTGTCTAGCAGACCTTGATTATATTAAGCTGGAACAATGCTTCTTTGTCATGGACATGTTGATATGCTGATCATTTCCTAGGAAGGAAACATTAAATGGAGGTATATTAAATATAGCTCCATGAACTATGACTACTGTATATCAAAAGGCATATAGCTGACGAATCCAATGTGATTCTATGGAGAACGCAACGCCAGGACGCACATGCAACAGACAGTTTTTAATAATGAGCCATTCAGACTGCAACCGACAATCAGCAGATGGCGTTGCATCGCAAGCAGAGTTAGATTCGTCGGCTGATGGTTCTACGACAGCCAAAGAATGCAGTGAATGCCCGGCTTTTACAGGTCTGCTAAAGAGCTGGCAGGTTTAAAAAAAAACCCCTTTAGTCCTCATTATTCAGGTTTAGTACAGGCCATTGAAAATTATAGGCTAAGTATTATAAAGGCTACCATCAAGAATTAAGTTGATGTATTTTGTGGGTCACTAAATAAAGACATATAAAGGAGGACAAGATGAAAGGCAAATATTATCTGAGCACTAGATTAATACAGTAAGCCTTACAAAAATTTTATGTTTTTGTAGTGGCCGAGTTCAAACGATGCATTTATCAAAAAACAATACTAAAATCTGTGTTAAATACTACCACCGAAAAACATAAATATATCTCAAAACTTATAAATGTAACTTTGAATTTCTCATTTATAGAAACACTTACAGAGGCATAAGATGGTTTCGGCATTGTTGGTGGCCGGGGGAGGGGGGAGGAGAAGGGGGGTGGTTGAAAAAAATAAAAATGCACAACTAATGTATTTTAATATACAGTATTTCTGTTTTGCTGGTATTATTTATGTTATCTTTGATGCACCTTCACAAGAAGGGAGTGTTATAAGATTAATTTATACCAGCACTATTTCTAATAAATATTTCTGCTACAGGTAATCTAATATTCAAGCTATAGTGTACACCATATAGAATTTAGAAATGCTTAAAATGTTGCATACTGTAAATAATTTTCATATGCAACACTGTAATTTGTAAATTATATATGGTGCCCTCTATAATATGCAAGCATTTTTAAATCATAGAGGGTGCCATAATATCATTTACAAATGCTTAGAAAAAATTGTACAGTATTATTCCTTGAAAGTTTGCTCTATAGGCGTAGGGCCTAATGCCTAGCATTACTATGGATATTACTTGAAAATTGTGAGGCAGTTTAGAAATAATTGAACAAGAAAAAATATAAGAAGTGTTCATACCTGGACCCCAGAATTGCTGAAACAAAACAGAGAAAAAAACGAATACAAACACTGATATATGTAATTTTAAGTACGTAAAGGTAATTATTTGTTCATTTAATAACCTCATAATATAAAGACAAAACAAAACTAAATTTGTTCCTTAGCTCAACCCACACAGTATATCTTTAAAAATAATCAAATATTCTCACCATCTAAAATTAATTCAGATAAAAAAAAACGAAATCTAACTTTCCCCATACAAATATACATGTTTCACATTCTGATCTTTGTGATAAAGGATTTAGTCCTCTTTTTCATTTTCCCTTACAGTTGGCCACAGGCACATCCACCCACCCCAGCATCTTTTGAATTTAGTTCCATCCTACACTCTCTGTCCCCAAACCCACACCAGAAAGTTTTACTCTTGATCCCACTGTACTTGCCACATTGCTTTAAGACCCCTCATTGCTTTAAAACCCCCCTCTTTGATTCTGAGCATAATGTGATAAAAAATATTTAATATTACTTACAGAACTAATCGATGAAATCCAAAGACAAACAGAGGAATGCATGATGGAGAAAAAAAAACAAGTAATATCATAATAAACAAAATAGATGTCTTACAACAATAACCTATGCCTTGGTTTTCATCAAAGCAAGTTCTATTAATTATATAATTAAAGGAAAAATTAAGATTATTGCTTATGTTTCAAATTTGTTTTAAATCAAACGCTCACAATGTCATGCTTCTGTCACAAAATGTGCGGTTTGGCCATTTTTTGGGTCTTATCTCCTACACTCAAAGTTAAAAGAAAATGATTACATTTGTGGGCGAAGAGGTCATGTTTTGTTGTTACATTTGTGGGCGTTATCACATTTGTGAGCAATGATCGTTATCTAACTCAGCCAGTGGGGGGAGGGGACTTGACTTGTCTGATTGGGGGCCCTTAATCCCCTGCTCACCCCCACCCCCCGCTGGCACCACCACTGATTGTGATATCCATCAGCACTGATTTCCCGGACACAATTATAATAAACTACAGTAGTAAACAATGAGACTTTGAGAGTTGGACGCCATCGCAATTTCTGGGACATTCTTGCAACTTGCGGGAGACTTGAGACCCCTGACATAATAAAGATATAATAATAAGACTGCAACATATTATTTATTACATTTGTATTCAGTAATGTACTATCTGCCATATTGATTGGAAGTGGCTATTGTTACACCAGTCTAAAAAGAATTCTGATTGGATGTTACTGTCCACTGCATATGGATTGGATTAGGGTACATCCAAATATTATTACTATTATAGTATTAAATTAGAATTATGAATTTCCCAAACCCCAACCAAATATAAAAATAATGTAAGATAAACACAAAACTGTCAAGATTTGATTAAATGGACTTAAAACAATAGTTTTCAACTTATCATATAGGCCTAGGCTATGGAGAGGCTAGGCCTAGCCTAGTCATAATCCAGATAGTTTAGCCTAGGCCTAGTAGTAGACAGGGTAGCCGATCATTTCGGTCGCGCTTCGTTTCGGTCGCGCTTTGTTTCGGTCGCGCTTCGTTTCGGTCGCGGTATATTTCGAACAAATATATGGAGCGCCGAAGGAGTTGCGAAAACGAAAAATTTAATATGCCTAGGCCCTATATATTTTAGTTCGTGAATCGGTTTATCATAAA